GGGAAGAAGGGAGGGAGGGGGAGAGAGAGTAGAGAGGGAGGGAGAAATGAAGCAAGGGGGATAAAAAGAAGAAAGTAAGTCTACCACCCTCCATTTCCTTTTGTGATTATTTTCTTTACTAGGTTGGTTGGTAAAAAAGCCTAAAAAGGGAGGGGGGGGGGGGGGGGGGGGAAGAAGGGAGGGAGGGGGAGAGAGAGTAGAGAGGGAGGGAGAAATGAAGCAAGGGGGATAAAAAGAAGAAAGTAAGTCTACCACCCTCCATTTCCTTTTGTGATTATTTTCTTTACTAGGTTGGTTGGTCAAAAAGCCTTCAATGGAATAGATTAATGGCCCATTCTTGCTTGTCACAAGAATACAGTTGTGTAAATCATCACAGGTAATGATTTTCTTGATCATTTCAAGTCTTTCCTGAATAACATGCATTGCTCTGTGGTCTGATAATCTGCATCGACTCTTCTTACATTTGTCAATTGGAAATTTCCATTTATAATTAGTTATTTAGCTGGCACTTTGTGTCCTGTGGACACCGAGGTGGAAGAAAGTCTCAGGGTTCGAGCAGAACAATGATCTTTAGGTAAGTGGTTCTTTAATTCATTTGAGATCATCATTTCCTGTGTGAGGAACAACTCCGGACACTGGCTAGGGAAGTGTAGCCAAGTTAGAATGATAATTTTTTGTAATTTCTAAGGTTTAAAAAATGAGCACTTATTTTTCTTTGATAATTACAATAATATTAAACATTAAACAAATTAAAGACATCAGAACAAAGTTAGATGATTAAATGAAAAAGTGTAGGGGCGCCTGGGTGGCTCAGAGGGTTAAAGCCTCTGCCTTTGGCTCAGGTCATGATCCCGGGGTCCTGGGATCGAGCCCCACATCGGGCTCTTTCCTTGGTGGGGAGCCTGCTTCCTCCTCTCTCTCTCTGCCTCCCTCTCTGCCTACTTGTGATCTCTCTCTGTCCAATAAATAAATAAAATCTTTTAAAAAAAAATGAGAAAGTGTAAGCTTTTGTTTCTTTAATTTTATTTATACAATTTAATTTTTGTTAAATAATAGTTGTATCTTTTTTTGAAGGACTGATTCTTCTGTACACTTCTCCATGCTCCTTACTCCCAAATCCCATTACCCAGAGACAAACACTTTAAGTCATTTCATTGCTTTTTTCTGGTGCTTTAGTCCATGTTTCTAAATAAGTACATAGTGATATTTCTGATTTTCAATTGCAGATATCTATTGAATTCCTCCTTAGCTGAGGTTTTATTTTTTCTCTTTGGCTCCTCCCTTCCCATCACACACATTTTTCCTGCTCCTATAGTTGTAATACACATACTCACAGTCATTGGTTGAATCAATACCTAAATATCAATCACAACAAAGCCTGTAGATTTTCTAGCCACATAAATATAACTTTGGCTTATCTTCTAGGAAAGAAATTATGTTGCCTCTCATTGGTAGCTTTTGGTTTCTTCTAGTGGTATCCTTGAAAAAAAATTTTTTCCAGTCCCTGAAAGTGAATACACTCACGGAGTAGTGAGAAAAACAGATTTTACTAAAGACCCATTAGAGGTGCTGGGGAGGAAGAATTTCCTCTAGTTTTCAAGGTCTTACCTGGACTTAGAATCAAATTGACATGAGACAGATTAGCAGGAGAAAATCAAATTTAATAGCATCTGTATGGGGGAATCCACCAAGAAATGGAAATTCCAAAGACAGGCAACATGATGTATATATGAGCTAAGGAGAAGGATAGGGGCCTGAAGATCAAACAGGTGAAAGACCATTAGCAGGAAAGTGAAAGGAGATGTTTGAAAAACAAAGATCTGTTACACGGATAAGTTTCTCAGGTACTAAGAGGCGTCTCTGTTAATAGCTCTTTCCCTGATAAAGCAAGCAGTTGAGCTTTTTCTGAAAATGCTGGCTTTGGATTGCTTTTGAGTCACAATAATGTTTATGCCAAAGTGGTCCTTCTTGGGGTGGGTACCCTTGGCCCCTACAAAAGAGAAGGCTTTAAGGGGGCACAGGTCATATACTATATTAAACCACATAATATTTTTACCTCTCTAAAAATCTCCAGAGGAATCAATTCTCATGTCTTCTTTTCTCATTTGCCAGACGATGAAGATCTCTTTATTTTTTTTCCTCCCCGCAATAATTTATATAATTCTCTGTGCATAGATCTCCCTCTGATTCTCCCATTTTTTGCTTTGCCCTAACCATTTCTAACACTTATATATTTTCAGGCATTGGGTTTCTCTACCTTTGTGTTCTTAGAAACAAAATATGATATCAGTGTTCTGTGTCCAGATAGGCTGTGTTATTCCCTGGTAATGAATAGCCCCTGCATCTCAAGTGCTTGATATTTTAAAATTAAATTTCTTGAACATGGGACATATGCAGTGCAAGTTGGTAGGAGGTCTGCATCAGGTGGATTTATGTTTCTATGATCATGGCAACAGCAAAAAAGGTGACACATATTATCTCCACTCATATGTTATTAGAAAAAGCAAGTCATATATCCACACATAGTTTCGGTAGGGCCAAGGAAGTGTAATACCCTACTGTGTGCCAGGAGGGACAGATGGAATATTTTTAAATAGTTCTAATGACAACCTTAACCACTAGAGTGAGCATAGAGACTCTATGGAGGCTCCTACAAATAACATATATTTTAAAAGTTATCGTGAAAATAACTTTTTTTCCATTACATATATTTTGAAAGCTTCTAGGAAAAAGGTGCCTAGGTGGCTCAGTCATTAAGCGTCTGCCTTTGGCTCAGGTCATGATCCCAGAGTCCTGGGATCAAGCCGCACATCCAGCTCCCTGCTCTGCAGGAAGCCTGCTTCTCGCTCTCCTACTCCCCCTGCTTGCATTGCCTCTCTCGATGTATCTCTCTTTGTCAAATAAATAAAATCTTTTTAAAAATAAGGTAAAAGGAAAAGGTCCCAGTTAACCTGACTTACTTCCGTCTAAGTCACCCATTGGATCACATGTTAGTCTAATAGAGAAAGATACTGTTCACTTTATTTTGAAATGTCTTCAGAAAACATCCTTTTATGAATTTACTTTTCAATTACTTAATTAATGAACGAATTTAAAATATTATAAAACCTGGGGGTGTCTGGGTGGCTCAGTCTGTTAAGCAGCTGACTTTGGATTTTGGCTCAGGTCATGATCTCAGGGTCGCCGGGATGGAGTCACAAGTCAGGCTCCAAGCTCAACAGGGAGTCTGCTTGAGGATTCTCTCTCTTCTTCTTCCTCTACCCCTCTTCCTGCTATCCCTTTCTAAAATAAATAAATAAATCTTTTAAAAAAATATTATAAAAGCTATTTAAGCTCTACAAAAGGTGACACCCTAACTTCTGAGAACTGAATATAAATTTGAGGCAAAACCTTAATTATTATACACATAGTTGGTTTGCCTCTATAAGGGAGGAAAAAATAATTTTCCCTTACCCTTGTAGGTTCTTGGCTGAGACATCCCCAACTCCCACCCCCTGTAATAACTGATAGATTGACAGGAGAAAAACAATTTTAATAGCATGTATACCTCTTGTATATATGGGAGATACTCAGGAGAACTAAGTAACTTTCTAAAATGGCCCAAGCCACTACCTTAAATAATATCTTCAGCTAAAGACCCCCAAAAAAGGGGGGGGGAATGTTGGGAGGAAGGGAGAGTCAGTTATGGGAGGTTACCAGGCAAAGAACAATAAACAAGCATTATGTTCTGCAGCTTTGGTTGTTGTCTTCTCCATTGATAAGAGTTTCTAGGGATTTAGAGTCTTCCTTCTCTTCCTGGTACAGAGAGGCAGAAACCCTAACACTGGAGACTTCCCTTATAAATGTAAAAATGTCTCTTACAAAAGGGTAACTTCTAGGCTTACAGAGCTTTTCCTTTGTGGTTTAAAAAAATAATAATTAGCTTCGAATAATCCTTACGCCAAAGAGACATATTTTGGGGTAGCCAGTTCTGCTCTCTCTTACTGTATCACCTGTAAGTTTTTATTATTAAAAAAATTAAAATAGTACTTCTTTAATATTGAGAACATTGAAAATACTGAAAGTAAATTTGCCTCAGTAAAATTCTAGTCTGAAACTGAATACCAGCCAGTATCATATATTAACTTCAGGGCCTTGAAAAAGAATATTACTATAATGATAATGTAGGTCTTTACTCATAGCGTAATATATTTCTAATTCAAGTAACTATCATTTCAGGTCCAGTAAGCAAATAGAGACTTCCCATTCATTTCATGCAAGCCTCTGAGCTGCCTGCGGAAACAAATGTCTCTCATTGCTGGACTAGGTTGGGTTCAAACTGGTGACTTGCAGGTGAAAGGTTGTGGATTCTGTTATCAATCATCTAAGCTACCCATTCCTCAGGCAGAAAGGCACTGTATCAGACAAGAGAGGGGAGAATTTGACTAAATTCATTAACACATTACACTACTCTGTTGGCAAAAAATCTTCTTGAATAAAATAACCTACAAAAAGCAGCTTCCTTTTTTTATTGTAACATATGGAACATATGTGAAGAAAATGTGCCAGTTACAATGTCCTGCAAATTGCTATAAATTGTTAGTGAGAAAATTCATTTGTAATTCCTAGGTATTTCTTCTTGTCTGTGACTGTCAAACAGTGACAGTATGATGGATAGTGTCACCACAAGCTGATCTCCCATGGACACAGTCTCTGGCCTCTGTCGGATAACACTACAAACCTGACTTTTATACTCACTATTAGCATTCTTGGAGAACAAGCTATTTACTTTTCTGCTGCATTATTTTCTATTTATTTGCATTAAATATACATTGGAGAGTAAAAAATGATTGTTGAGATGTAGCTTGGTTAGTAAAAAATGATTGTTGAGATAAGAGTTGAGAGAGAAATCAAGAGCTATAGTAGGGATACTCATGACTTCATGAGGATAATTCACTTAAATAATTTCTTAAGACAATACAAAAAGATGAAGACAGAATATAGTTTTGTGGTTAGTTAGCATTAAATTTCCAGTGAAAGTTTGAAATGTACTCTTGTGCTTTTCTATGAGATATTTTGAACTTCTTAAAGCACTATGGCAGAATATTTTTTCCTGGAAGGATTCCAAAATGATTTCAACAGCAATTTTATGCAAAATTGGTCAACTACTTACTTTTTACCATGTAGTGTTCCAGATTATGGAAATGAACAAAACTAGACATTACTAGCATTATGTAACTTATATTCTACTGAGAAGACAGAATAGAAATGGATAAACAGATGATAATGATGTAGGCAGGCCTGGTCTGAGGACCCAAAGAGGGTATTCCACAAGACCAGCCAAGAGGATCCTTGGCTTCATGAATGATAGAAATGAAAGGTAAGCTGAGA